ATGATAGGAGAGAGCCTAGGCAACATGAACCTAAATCTAAATATATAAATGGGCTGAAAAACCGTTTATTAAAGACCCCAAATCAAGTTTTAGTTGATTTTATAAAATGGGTTTGATGTAGTATGTAAACAGTTAAAGTTTCAAAACATACTGTTCTCTCCCCTGACCGTACAGTCCACTAGTGGAACCAAAAAAGTGCATTTTGAATACAGTGTCAATACTAAGGAGTGTTTCAGCATGGACAGCTTTTGGAATGAGGCAAAACACAGGGCAGCCAGAGCTCATTTCCATGTATCAGTCTTAAAAGCACAGTAATAAAAATAGTCTGATTAATTCTAAGGGATGGAGAGAGGTTGGAAAGAAAATTAATTAGGACTGTTTTGGTACACTGTGATGGACTGGTGACCTGTCCAGAGTGTATCCTGCCTTCTGCCCAATGACCACAGGGATAGGCTCCAGCACCCCACCCCCCGCGACCAAAGAAGAATAAGCGGTTCAGAAAATGTGTGTGTTTTGGTACATAAAATCATACAAACGTTATAAGTGGACCTCTGGAGAATAATAAGATACATTGATAATAAATAGATTATGGCTGTAATCGAATTTTAGAGGACAAATAAGCTAAAATACTATTAGCAGCCATTTTCAATAATGAATTTTGTTAACATTTATGGGATATAAATAAGTATATGTGGAATGACTCAACATGGTTTGAGGCATGTGTGTGATGAATTAGGAAGTCTGACCGATGCAAACAAAGCAAACTGCAAATAACAAACATGTTTTGGCTAATCGACTACAGTTGGGACAAGAGGAAAATTCTATAAATTAGATTTTTCACCAAATTGCCCCTTTAACAGTATGTCTAAAATATAAGTTTCAGTGTAAAGTTAATACAGACTCCCTTTCATAGGTCTTAGAATCATATTGTGTGCTATAGGAGGTCTTTCCCAGTTGGTCACAACCACTCTGTCAGACGTCCTCAATATACATCTGTCAATCAAAGTATTACCAGACCCCTCCTCCAGCCTCTGGTTTTGGGGGCAGGGAGTAGGGTGTGGGGGGAGGGCTGCAGACTGGGTCTGGGACTTGGTCCTAGACTGGTGGGACATGAAGCAGCTGTCTGAAAAGTGACTTATCCCAGAGACCCTGCTTCGTCTCTCTTTCTCTCGCCCCCTCTCTTTCCTCCACTGCTCTGTCTGGCCCAGCTCCCAGACTGTGGTATGTATACAGACCCAACCAGCCTCAAACACACATAACTTAAGTCCAGGTCTGTAGATGGCTTTAAAAGAAGATGAACAAAGTGAGGTTTGTGTGAGTATCTGCATTTATACATATAAAATAGGGACTGCAGGACAAAATGAGAAGTAAATGAGAAGATTCAGAGAAGCTGAAACGGTCAGGACACAGAGAGTGAAGCTCCACAGATCCAGACCAAATCACCAAAGTGTAGATTCACACAGTTAGACAGCACAGAAAAGAAATATGTCAGCCCTACTTGAACAAAGAGCCAACAATATAGCTACATTTTCCTCTCAGTCTCCTCTCATCCTTCTTCCATTTCTGATCGCAGCCCACCCCAGCCCCCCTTTTCCTCCTTCTAATATAAGCCAGATGTGGAGCAAGGATTGTCTTGCTAAAACTCTCCTTTTCCCCCCCGCTTTTTTAATTTCTTGTTTCTGTCTTCGTTTCACTCCCTCTCTGCCCCTCCCCCTTTTACAGGAAATTCTCCAGGTTCTTGGCCTTGAAGGGAGCCTCTTTAACCACGTCCAGATGGGGAGAGAGAGAGAGGGAGAGAGAGAGAGAGAGCGAGTTTCAGAAAAAGAGAGAGAAGCGGGCACAAAGCTTCTTTCTTCGCTGCGTTTATTGAGGTTGGAGTTAAAGACAGGGTTGGATGAGCGAGAGCCCACTGCTCTTGTCTGCAGCAGCACTGTCCAGCTGTGGTCACCAACCTCCTCTCACTTTCTCTCCTTTTGCCTGTAACGAGGTCACTGCATCATTACACCCCTGCAGTACTCAGATAAAAGCCACTACTTCATTCCCAGAGTGACAAAACATCACTCTTTTATCTCAGCAGCTTCACAAAGCTGCGATTTGTTGATAGCTCAGGGGGAGCGTTCTTGCCAAGCTTTTTGAAAATTTAGTACATGAGCAAAGCTGGAATTTAGCAATACTGACAGATCCTATCACACTAGAATCTGTGTCCATACATGGGCATCACTTTTAGGCATTTTTTCTTTGGGAGAGGCTCACTTTTTTCCCTAATTCTGTAAAAGTTTGGGCTAACTTGTTCAAAGAGAAGCTAACTGTACTGCTAAAGCTCACACTGACTCCTAACCACCAATAACATGGACTACAGTCCTCAAATAATTTTGCATGTCATGGGTCACCCCACTACTGACTGAAGTTACGGCCCAGCATGGTCACTTACTTGGAATGGTCAGCCTATTATAGTCATTTGTGTGCTTTTTCACAGGTTGCCAGGAATTCATTCATTTCATACCACCTGCAGCAAGAAGCAAACACAAAGCCAGCCATGCTAACACCAAATGAGTTGAAACCTAAAGCCTAGTGGCTTGGAGCTCTCTGGCCTTAAAAGGCCATTGTGGCCTAGAACTAGAGTTTAATATGTTATTCATCATGTTATGCATTATTCTGAAGCACCGCATTTTCCTTCTCAGCCTCATCACTTCGACGGAATCCAAAAATGATATCATTTTCATGTTGTCGTGCATCAATGTTCACACTGCAAAACCCAGCACTACGCGTGTACTCGTACAACAAATGGGAATCTCTGTGGTGTCAACCAACCCTGACTCCTAGCCTAGCCACTGAGCTAAAGGCTAATAAACTGTCATCGGTGTAACTCCTCACAAACAAAACTGCAAAAGAACAGTGTTTCTGTCTTTATTCAGCACAAATGGATGACAGAGACAATTTGTCACCAAAGAAAAGCAGCCAAACTGAGGTAAGATATCTAGACAGCCAGACATCTTGATCCTTTATATTCTTCTCTGTCGTTTGAGTGATGCATTATTTCCATTGTTATGAAGATTTGAAGACACTTACTAGAGCAAATGAAATAAGCTATTCATCTTTCAGCATTAGCATTAGCCACCGGCCTTCTAACACAGAAAAATACCCATTTCAAATCAGCCTGTTAACAAAATCCACCTCAAAGCACTTGTCATTTTTCAGGTTCCTTCCACCTTCAAGATACATCATCAGTGTTTTTTAGTCTTCAAGCTGGAAAATCTGACTCTACTATGACACTGCTGTTTGATGCGAGTGGGCAGGTTAACAATAGATGTAGTGGTAGTGGTTAAATCTTGCATTTTGGTTGGAGTGCTCCTTTAGCTGAACATATAGCCCTGGTAAGCATTATTAAATAGTGTATGTGCTATGCTATATCACTGTAATAGAAAATAGCTCTGAGTTTCTGAGAGCAGTCTGACTGTAAGCATGAAATCCAACTGACTCAAGCCAAACCATACATCAAGTAGGACTCTGAGGTCATCTATGCTTGCATATAGCAGGTATTATTACTGTGTTACTAAGGAGTTATGCTCCTCCTCCAGTCCCAGATGTCCTTCTTTCTGCCTTGTTCCCCCTTTTACTGCTGTGGCTGACGGCACAAAGTGATCAGAGAAGTTGCTATGGTGATCTCAAATACAGTCTATACAGTGTACAGCTCATTTAAGAACGTTCTCACTGCTCTGCATGAGTAGCACTTACGTCATGAGTCTGTAATGGAGTAAAGTTTTCAAAATTTAGAGAGAGGAGGGATTGATTATGGTACAGCTGAGGGTAATTATCTCTACTTAGGACTAAGTAAGTGTTTATGATAAGGTGTGTCCTTCTGAAGACTGAAACTCCACTGGTGGCATGCCACATCAGGACCTTACTGAGAGCAGCCATGCTGATCTCCACGCAATTCTACAAAACACCCCAAACTCTCTCCTCTGAGGATGACCTTGTGCTCCACATTCTACAGACAGAGGTTAAACTGGGCCATCAGGACCCTAAACATCTACCCATTTTGACCCTCCATGCCTGATTTTGTGAAGAGTCATTTTCACAATCGTGCAGTGGTTGTATGAAGTATTTGCAATAAGCATGCTGGGTACTGCAGCAAGAGAACCTTCATGGATGAAAACACAAAAAAGGGTACAAAATAGTGAACAGGCTGAAAGATGCAATGCAGCTACAGTAAATTACATAACATTTTAAATGCTAGTCTTAGGCTGGAATCTCCCTGTATAGAGAGAGCTCGATCTATCCAGACCCACTTTCAATCACATTTTTATGATATCAATGCTGCAAAGTCTATATAATAAAACAAAAAGTGAATGGTAATGTTCCCAAATTGTTGGCATCCAGTAAGGCTGTGGTTCCCACCTTCTAAACCCCTGTTTTACCCCTTTACCTGTAGCCTATAGCCCTCCCCAGACTCTCGCTTCTGTGCTGTGGGTGGCCCTGTGCGTGTGAGGCTGCAGCAGTGAACTTCCTCACACTCGCCCTGATGGAACACCCACAACGCTCTGCTGCTTCGTGTCTCACGAAAAACAGATCACCACCCAGTTCAAGTTCAGCCAAAAACAATAAACAGAATGCTGCAGAGATCACTAGCATTAGCGCAGATACAATCTCATACACTGTAATATTTGACAGGTACTTCTCTGTCAGGACGGTCTAAGAGTATCATTGTGCTGAACGTGGCCCCGTTTGATTTCCTGTCTGAATTATACTTGCCGTATTGTCATCATCTGTCTGGGCAGGGCAGTCTTTTGGATCTTCGCTTCTTCTTTCCCTGGATCACTGACCCTTCCCTGGCTCTTTCTCAGTGCGAAGCAGCTTACGCTACTTTTATGTGGGTGGCTGTGACTGAAATGAAGCTGTAATTATGTTCTATAGCTGGAAATTGTTTGTGAGTTGCATGCAGGAGCACTTCTTCTGCGTAAGATCATTTTCTGTCTCTCACAACCACAAACATTCTAATGACATGGTCCCAGATTTTTATTTACAGAGTACAATCATAAATACAAGCACCTTCAACCGCATACACAGATATGTACAGGGATGGCTTTAGGCTCAGATTCTCTGTAAATCTGAGGCAGACAGAACTTAGATGCCTCTGCTGTCATTCAGGCTGCAGAAGTCTACACCAAGACGCTGCTTAATAAATTCTCAATAAAGACTCAAATAAGACTCAAATAAGTCCTCAGGGAACCCCAGACAGTCTACATTCTTAATAAGAATGTCTACATTTTCACTCTCTCCCTATGTATTGAAAGTTAGGATCCAGCAAAATGTGGACTGTCTGGGGTGCCTTGAAGACTGGCTTGAGAACCATTGCCTTAAAGGGTCCCTCCGGAAGGCATTAGCTAGGAAAGATAAACTGATCCTGTACCCCAGTGGTTCCCCAGTCCTGGTCCTGGTGCCTTTGCAGGACTTGTTAATTAACTAATCGCCTAAATAAGAAGTCCTTCCTGAGTTGAAATGGATATGTTTGAGCAAGAGAAACACTAAAACCATGTTTCCCCCACAGGAACTTTATCAGGAACCAGGAACTTTAAGAACTTAGGACCTTTTAGGTGCGTTTCCACCAGAGACGTCAGATTTCAGTTTCTGGGCTTTACTTTGTAATAGGTAATTTTCTGTGAACCGGGAAAAATTGAGGTGAAGCCAGCTGTACTGGACCTCAATAACTTGGCAAAAGCAAGCTTCGCAAAACCCTAACAACATGAAGGGCAGGGGTACTACAGGACCAGGACTGGGAACCACTGCAATACCCTGTAGCTCAGACGGTAGTCATGACTTTGAGGGATCCAGTCCGAAAGCGCAGAATCTTCTTCTTGAGGGCATGAGATGCCTTAATCTTGACTAAGGCTTTGGTTTGCAGTGGGGCTCCAGGAGGAGTAGGAGGTGAGGGCGGTGCCAGCTGGGGTGCAAGCTGCTGTGGCCACACCAGTCCTCCACTCTCATCTGAGTCACTAGACATGGAGCTGGAGCCTGGAGACTCACCCTCACTTAGACTGGACTCCCACTCGGCGGGACCTGCGTGCTTATAGCCCCCGTCAGGTCGGCATGGCAGATAGTCCGGAGAGTGAAGGTGTTGATGATGCTGAAAGTGGTGTGGATGATGAAGGTGCTGGGGAGCTTGACTATAGGAGTAAGGGGGTGGGCCAGGGCGGGGTCTGCGGGGACGTCTGGTGGATTGCTCAGGCGGAGGGGGAGGCTCTGCCTCGTCTTGACTGAGCTCCAGTGTGGAGCGCCAGCGACGATGCCCCAGGCCACCCTGAGAGCGGCGGCTTTTGCTATGGCCAGCCCGCCCGTTGTCGCGCTCTACGGTGCTGTACTTGCGCTCAGGTGCCCCCTTCTGGCCCAGCAAGCTGTTTTCCGACTGTGAGCGGCAAGCCCTTCGGCCAGGTTTCTTGGTAGCTGCCCTTTCCTCTGTGAAACGACACTTCTTTGGGACAGCTCGTGGTTTGGGTTGTGCTCTCTCTGCTCTCTCAGGGGAGTGGGTGGGGCGGCTGGCTTTGGGAGCGGAGTGGGCGCGGTGCGTTTTGGCTCTGGTCGGAGCACGACATGGCTGGGCTGGGATGTACTGGGCATTCACCAGCTGTTCATCCGAGGAGGGCGAGTGTGGGACCTGGTAGTTTTGGGGCGAGTCTGCCTCACTGCTGCTGGGCTCCAGAGCTCCACAGGGGAAGTCCAGCGAAGTGGAGCGGATTCCCGCAAGCGCAGGAGGCCTGGGATAGTGCACAGGGAGTGCCTCCTCATGGGAGAGGCCCCCGAGCCGCTCCTCTTCCAAGCAATAGGAGGCCCATGCTGGTGTCCTCTCAGGGCTGGGTGAAGCCTTGTGGCGCTCGATGGCAAAGGGAGGCTCTTTGCAGCAGAGGCTGCCCTGCCTCACCACTCCTCTGGCTTCAGGGCTTAGGCTGGTGCGAGGTTTGCAGTGCCTGGCAGTAAGCAGACGGCGCTGGATCAGGCCCAGGATGTAGGTTTCCATGCGTTGAGCTTGCTGGAAGTCCTCCTCTCCTGCTGCATCTCCTACTGGCCAGAACCACTGCTCCCTCTCTACTCCTCTCTCTGCTATGCCCGTCAGGGGTGGCTGGGGGGCTGAGAGCGAGCGAGGAAGCAGAGAACGTCCCCCACTGACCTGAAGTCCGTCACGGCTGGCAACAAACGCATCTCCTACAAACAGAACCAAAACCACACTCAGGAATGTTCAGCATATAATAAAACAACTTTGAATATACAGAAAGCAAAGAAGACAGAAATGGCATTGCGTTTTCAAACTGAGAAAAGGCCTCACACTACATTGTAGTAGATAGAGAACGGATAGAAGAGATAAAAATACTAGGCATGATCAAGCTAGTTACCCCAACATCACCAGCTATACTTCCCTATTCAACCAGTCAGTGTTTGCTTTATACACAGCACCACAGATGTGCCAGTACACATAGTTGAGATATGCACATTAGCTCCTTCACAAGTTACGATTAACCGTAAATCTCTGTGTCTTTATGCAAATACTTCAACATTTTGCAGGAGCATAAATTGGCCTTCAAGGATGACTCATGTATACCTTCCTTCACATCACTATTAAGGAGCAAACTTGCCCATCATTGTCTCAAAAATAATACAATTGATTGAGATTGTTGAAAATGCAGTTTTTTTTTCAAATTAACTAAACTTATAGTGCATATTTACAGGCAATAGAAACAGCCCAGCAGCAGCTTGCTAAACAGCATGTGCCAGCCTTCTGTGGTAGTCAGAGCTTACACTGAGCATGTGCATGAGAAACCATCTACATGCCTGAAGTAGGAGGACAGCTCAAACTTAAATAAGCAGCTCAAATAATTCAAAATGAAGTACAGCCAAAATAAATCACACTGAGTCCAAAAACTATTAGCATAACACTCTCTACCAGCAGCAAAAACATCGCATTCCTCTCAAACCTCATCCATTCTGATACCCTGACCCTACAGAGAATCAGAGCATCGTCTCAGTGTGGTTTGAAGGGGCCTTGGTGACAGTCTGGTTTTGGTGAGTGGAACATGATGTTTTTGCTGCTAAGATTGAAAGTTACTCAAATGTTTTAGACATACAGTGATACACGTGTTACTGGATATATATGTTTATGCATAGTTTTTTGACCATTTCATTTGGGTCAGTAATAAAATATCCCCTACAATATCAGATACTTACTGGCCAAAACAGTGGAAATATATTTTTTTATGTACGTAAACGCTCATAGATGGGCATGTTAGTATGTATCTATGTACATGAATGTGAGCAAATTAAATGCCACATTCTCACTAATCACAATGCAATGAGTATTTATACTGAATAATTTATCACCGCTGATAAATCCTGGAAGCAGCTCACTGTTCCAGAAACCTTCTGAGTCATGAATTTTCAAGCTTGTTGTTCTTAAGAGGTGCAGTGACAGTTGCATAACACCAATGCAACATGATGAGTTGCTCACTGTAGTCCATTTATTTACTGTTTAGTCTCCATTCTAGTTTCTGTCTTGTACTTAAGGATGGTATTGTTTCTTTTATAGTTCATTGCCTGTATTTATTTAACTTACTGCCTGTTTGTACCATTTGTATTGTATTTATTGTGTGTTTATAGTGATGTCTGTAGTTGCTCTGCATAAAATGTAACACTGTTCCAGCAAAAATCACACATCTTCATTTATTTAATTTCCAGTGAAAACAGCCAGTTACTAATTTTGTCAGGAGAAAAAAAACAGGAGTTTTTCAAAAAATGGAGTTAAAAAACTTAATAAATGCTACAAAGGAAACTGGGCGCCTAACAACTGTACAAGACCTGGTAGACCACCAAACTGGTCACCATCAGATAAACCGTACTTAAAGCTTTCCTCTTTAAGAGAAAATGAAGCTCCACTCTTGCTTCGGATCCGAAAGCAAGGTGTTTCTGTCCATCATTCCAAGGTGAGAAGACGTCAGTGTAATGAGTCTGAAAGGATGTTTAGCTGTCTAGAAGCCGTTACTGAGAAAAGGAAATGGACAAAATTTGCAAAATCAGACAAAGAAGCTGCTGGTGTTCTCAGAGTAATGGACTGACCACTCCAGAGTCCAGTCCTCAACATCACTGAATGTGTTTAGGATTAACTGGCTTGCGAGAAGCAGAAAATGCCACCAACTTTGAAAAATATCCCTGCAGATTTTTTAAAACTTAAAGCAAGTTTCCTGAAAAGAACAGAGGCTATAGTCAAGGCACAGGGTGGACACAGTAAACACTCAAATATTTTATATTATATTTCATTGTTGTGGTGTAATTTTCTGTTTTCAGCTTTTCCCAGACACTGAAAAATGAATAACTTGTACTTATTTGCTGCTTTGACTGGAAATTCAGTAAATAACCATAGCAAGGTCCTTAGCAGTGCAGAGGTACATTCTACAGCTTGTGTTCGGCACCACTGGGAGGAAGTGACTACAGCCACTGACTTATCTACATAGTTATGTGGCCGGTTTTTCCCTACTGAAAGAGCCAGTGCCACCCTTTGCTCTAAGAGACTAAAGAAGTGGTCATGTGGTAACAGACTATTGCTTCATTTCACTGTAATTAAGTGGGGAAAAAAAGGGCAAAAATGTGTACAAGGTTCAAAAAAGGAAACTAATGAACTGAGTGTGAGCGTGTGTTACGGCTGCACAATATATTGTTAGTTAATCATTATTCTGATATTGGTCTTATATATTGCAATGCTGAGCACAACATGCAAAAGAGCCCAGTTTAAAGAAAGATCCAGTTTTAGCATCCTAGCACTGACTCCCAGTGCATTACAGAATCCAATATAAAATGGCACTGATGGCTTTTAAAGCTTTGAATGGACTTGCTCCTGCATTTGTAGTGGACATGCTTTGTATGAATGCACCCACAAGATCTTTAAGGTGTGCATTCCAGGAATTTTTCTTCTTCTTGTCTTAAAGTATGCTTTTTACGTTTTGTGTGTGAAAGTGGTGAACGGAGGGTGGAAATCTTTTGTTCTTTTTTGTAAAGCATTTTGGTTTTACATGTGCTGAATGAATCAAATTACACCCTCAGTCACGGTGTTAATGTTCCTTTTAAATTGGGCTAAAATTGAGTGGTAAATATAACTCAAGATCCTTGGAATATAAAACTTTCAGTAGTCCATCACTGTATATTCCAGTCATGTCGTTAACGTTTTAGTTTTGGTCAGAAAATCATGAACATACTATACTTGTCAGCCTCTCAGTTTAAACAAACCTGACTGTTATGCAGGGTATGTTTATTATAGTTTCATATATACGCATATGACTGGTTCGACTCATCAGTACTATGTTCCACGATCCCTACGAGTAACACTTTTTCGAATGTGGCTCTGCCAATCAGATTTTAGGACCCAAACTATATATTTTATAACTGATATTTTGATGGGTGGCGTCCTCGATTTTAGACTTGCCAGTTAATTGAATCATCGACTAATGATCCATCAAAAGAATTTGCCAAAATTTGCAACCCTAATCAAGATATTTACATGATCCAGCAAAAGTAAATCATAATCAACAAACATTTCTCATTGCAAAGCACACAGAAATCACAACATGTAGCAATGTGAGCGCAATATGGTCATTTGTCCATATCATGCAGTGTGTGTGTCCTTTCGCTCACATAGAGCTCCTTTCTCTGCGAGCTGAGTGTGTGTGCACACTGAGGTCTCAGTGCGCAGCAGGTCTCATGACTAAACGGGAGGTGTGTGTGTGCTGCCTGCAGGACTAACTGATGCAATTATAGAACTAGTTTAACCCCTTAACTGAAGTGAGGTTAAAAAAAGACAGACTAAAAAGGGCAAATTTGTAGAAAGCAGATAGTATCAGTGTGAGGCTTCAAGTGAGAGGAACACAGAGGTGAAGGGATATGAGGAGAGATAAAAGGCAGGGAAGAGAGGGAGAGAGAAAGATGGCTTATGTGGGCTGCTCACCAGCAGACATGGGCCTTTCATTGGCACTAGATGATCGTACAGGGAATGTGGTCCTGGGGGAGAGTTCTCCTGAGTCCAGTGGCGACTGAGTATCACTCGGCTCATAGAAACCTGACAAAACATGAACACACAGCGTCAGGAACTGTGTAGACAAAAACTGACATATGATGTAATGTAAAGATATCATTGCTGTTCAGAATAAAACATGTCTCAATTTTTATTCTTCTATATCATTTGAACACTGCAGCTGTCCTTAACACTGTGAAAATTTTATGATGAGTTGGCCAATCGAAATGCTCCAAAATTACATGGAATTAAGCATCTTCACATTAACTTCTATTAAAAGCTAAGAACATTTTTCCTTCTCTTGTAAAATTACCATTTTGGAGCCACACAAAAGCCTCAACAGTTACATACCACCTTAAATATTTCATTATTAGTGTGTCCTCTCTTTACCTTACTACAGTTTCTATTCTATTCAGGAGACTTGTTTTCCGTTCTTCAAAGAAATCTGCAGGGACATTTTTCCACACCTCCAGAGTTCAGTCTTAGAACTTGGCTGCATTTGCTGCTTCTCACGCTCCAAGCGATCCCACACACGTTCAGTGTGGTTGTATTTAGTGGCCAATCCATTGTTCTAAGAACACCAACAGTTTTATCTTATTTGCAAACTTGCTGTTTTCTCAGTAAGAGCTTCTTGACAGCTGAACATCCTTTCAGACTCATAGCGTTGAATTGCTCCCTCACAGTAGAAGGATCGATACAAACACCTGTGGATTTTTTTCTTGAAGCAAGAGTGGAGCTCGATTTTCTCCTCCCTTTAAAAATGAAAGCGTTGAGTACTGTTTATCTGATGGTGACAGTTTTGGTGCTGAACCAGGCATGGTTGTTAGGAGTCCCACTTTCTCTGTATCGTTTAGCTATTTTTCCACAACTCCTATTTTTTAAACATATTTTCCTTTGACTTTCCCCTTCCTTTTGCCAGTGAATCTTATATTTAATCTCCTCAGAAATAGCTACAAATCAATAATGTGTTCTTAAAGGCCACTTTAAGAAGTTAAGTAAATGAAGGGGGCTCTCTAACACAGTACTGGCACAGTGCTGTATATAGTAGACCTGCAAGGTCTCTCAATTTCATAAAGTGGTCAGTGAGTGGAAGTTCAAGAAAGGTGTTTCTAATAAAGTCCACAGTGATTTAATTATGAACGAGACTTGCTAATGTCATGTCTCTGTATTATGGGCTTACATGATGAGAAGCCGTATGTTTGCTCAGGTTTGCAAATATCTCTTCTAATGTATACATTAAGCCATAGTTTTTATTTATATGTAGAGTTAACACAAGAAGCTTTCATTTTTCTTCACTGAAAAAACTCACAGAGCAATACTTATTTACAAGGTTTAGTATCGGACTGGTGAGCTGAGCAGTACCTGAGCTTGGTCCACTGTCTCCTGCTTCAGTCGGGTTTTCCACTGAGCTGCTCTCTGTATCGACCCTCAATTCTCCCACCTGCTGCTGAAGAACTGTCATCAAACCCTGCAAACACACAAGCACAAATACACAAACTCAAAACAGGATACATAAATCTCATCTTCTCTCCATACACTCTAAAGAAATAGTGGTGCAAAAAAATTCTGTGGAGTGATGGCATAGAAGAACCACTTCTGGGTTCCTAATGAGCATTTCATCAATGGTTCTTTAGAGAATTTTTTAGTAAATGTAAGGTGCAAGCATGAAGAACATTTTTATGAAATTACAGATATTTTCTAGAACTGCATGTCCAAGCCAAGAACTACTTAGGAGCCTTTATTGGACCTTCAAAGTACTTGTTATGAATCTCAAAGGCCAAGAGATTTTTCTTTTTTTCTCTTTTGCCAGTCAGTTAAGTTCCTTAGCATTTTAATTTAGTGTTTTTATTAAAACATAAAGCCAAATTCAAATCAGAGTAAAATCAAACTGCCCACAGTCACTGCATCACACACGACAAAAAAAGAAAATATTTAGTTTTCACGTTTAGACACTTGATTGTGTTTACAAGTTCAAACGTTTTTCTTCAGTGAAGTATATTTTTGGCTCCATTCTTCTGCTTTTAATTGAGCAAGATCTGTCACAGTACCCACTAGGCCTGCACCTGGTGATGGTTAACCACAGTAACAGCCCCCGGTGATACATCCGCCACTCATTTATTGATTTATTTCATGCAAACCACAGCAAGACACTAGTATTCCCATGAACATAGCTGAAATTTTAAATGTTAGGTGACATGATATCCTAGATAAATACTACATTTTAATGTACCTAACATAAATGAGATTGATCTGCAAAAGCGGATGTTGAGCGAAGACTGGGAAGGCCACTAAAGAACAGTGAATTCATTGTCATGTTCAAGAAACCATTTCGAGATGATTTTTGCTTTGTAACATGGTGCACTGTCATGCTGGAAGTTAGAAGGTGGGTAAACTGTATTAAGAGGCCCAAAGCATACCAAGCAAATATTCCCCACAGAAATCAAGATTCATCAGACCAGACTATGCTTTTCCAGTCTTCAACTGTCCAGTTTTGGTGAGCCGGTGCCCACTGCAGCCTCAGCTTTCCGTTCTTGGCTGACAAAAGTGAAACCTGATCTGGTCTTTTGCTGTTGTAGCCCATCCACCTCAAGGTTCGTCGTGTTGTGCATTCTGAGATGCTTTTCTGCTCACCACAATTGTACAGAGTGGTTATTGGAGTTACTGTAGCCTTTCTGTCAGCACAAACCAGTCTGGCCATTCTCCACTGACCTCTCCCATCAAAAAGGCATTTCAATGAGGGGAAATGCTTCTCACTGGATATCTTTTCTTTATTGCACCATTCTGAGTAAATTCTGGAGACTCATATGTGGGAACATCCCAGGAGATCAGCAGTTAAAGAAATTTTTAAACCAGAGGACTCCGGCACAGGCCTAGTGCCCCCACTTACCACACACATAAATAAATATCAAGCACATATGAGGAGCAACTACAATCCATTAAACAACTACTACTGTGAAACCTCCATGTATTTTATTAGTTAATATTTTTGATCATTCCAGTTCTCACTTTTGTGAGATAAAGGCTGAGATTAAGATACCACAGAGAACAAAGAGGCTGCTGATGCAGCTGAACGCTTAAGAAATGCTTGTATTCAAAGAGACTGACTGTGCTTATTATAAACAGTCTGCTTCAACAATAAAGTCTGTCTGATTCTGCTTATTTTATTACTCTGTAGGTCTCTGGGGTGTGAGTGGAGACTGTGTAGACTGTGTACTGAGGTTAATGACCTCCTGCATGTATGTATGTGCTGCACCCTGAGTGTGTAAAAGTCTGCAGGATTGCCAGATGAGTGAGAAAGAGAGCGTGACTCAGGGTGGCATCCCGTCTCTGCGTTCAGTTGTACAGCTTAAGAATGCAGAGAGGGAACGAATGTCTGGGAATGAAAGGAACAGAATGTTCTGTTTATGAATGAATGGAAGATTGTGTCTCTGCTTCATCTGTCAATTTAGCTTTACTGACTTTGTCACCTGATTGCTCTTTTCTAACTGTCTGTTTTTGGTTCCATTCAGCAGGACAGCTCAGTAACAGGTCAGAAGAAAAAAAAAACACAAAGGACGGCAGGCATTGTCGACAACTGTCAATGACAATCAAAAAATAACCAAATTTAACATTATAATCCTGCTTCTTTATAATATCACTGTCTTAGTAAAACCTCATAATTCAATTTTTACACCATTTGAACGTGCAAGCTGTCCTTTACATTGCATGAACATGTCATAACAAATGAACCAATAGAAATGGTCCAAAGTTACGTGCAATGAAATCCTACATATTAAAGTTAAGAACTTTTCTTTCCTCCTCTTGTACACTTACCACTTACAAAGTTTTGGTACAATGGTAATGATAAGTACGTGTCTGCCCTAAAAGCTGCTGCTACACCCACACCCTTAAACACCCACTCATTGTATTAACAACGCTTAAGTGTAAAATGACACGTAGGAGTGAAAGGATGCTTGTGACCCCTCTGAACTGAGGGTCTTTTCACTGGACTTGTTAAAATAAAAAAAAAAAAAACAACTCATGGACAACGGAGTGCTCAAACTTAAGCATCTTCGATTTTTAACATGTCAACTTTTTGCTTTTAATTCATTTGACAATTCAGAATGCTAAAGAAAAACTCATTAGCTTATCCTGAGACAACTTAGGGCCAGTTTCCCCATGACTAAGCCTAGACTCAATGGGATTTTTAATGGCAAAACATCACTGACATTGCAGTTTAGTCCAAGACTAGCCTTAATTCATGTCCATGAATCTGGTTATAATTAAACATTGCCATGTGTTGCTAAAACAGCAGCTTTATGGTTATTGGTCAGGGTTCTCTAACAGCTACACTGGCAATGATAAGGCTAACATAGAACTAACCTAAACTTTTACAGGGTGGTACTATGCACTCAGAACTAACTGCACACAGCCCAAATCTAGCGCCCATTTCCCTTACCTGGATCAAGCCCAAACTAAGACTTAATAGGATTTTAATGATAAAACACCACTAAAGGTGCATCTTAATCCAAGACTAATCTTAATCCATGTCAATGTTATTTGCCTATAATTTTTAGAATGACATTTAATTTATGCTTAGCGAACACATATATTACAATTCATCATAGTAATAACTAGAAATCTCCAGGATTGGAGTCAGCTGGAGGCAATACACAAAATTGTTTTTATTTTGGCTCGGCATTGCAATTTTAATGATGTAAGTAACGTCAGGTAAGTGCACTCACGCAGCTACATCTATACCAAAATGTTATCACATAATTATGCATGGCTCATTGTGCTAAACAGTCAGTTGCCTCTTATTTCTGATGTAGCATTTTATTTAATTCATACTATTTAAATAGGCAACTCATTTAAAATTGAATAAGAATTGTTTTTAAATGCCAGTTTGGCCCATTAAATAACAAATACATGTTGTTAATATTGTAAGTTTGGCCAATGAGAAGTACTGGAGATGAGTTAGTGTGTTTTATGTGTTCATTAGCCCCCCCCCAGTGTAAACTTTGGATTTTAAAAAGTCTAATAAAATCAGCCAATAAAATCAGCCACTGGCCAATTTTGGCTGTAAAGAAATCGGAATTTGAATCTACCATAAAAAATCATGATCAGTGCATCCCTACTAACAACTAGTATCCCTAGTAGCATCCCTAGTAACAACTTTTATTGTTCTAGTAAGACCCAAGGCGTCTCAATAAATGTGTCTTCTTTTTTATATTTACGTTTATTTGAACTCAACAGTTAAAAAGCACCTAATTCACACTGTGTTATGCAACATAAACACAGCATTGTGAAAACAACTGTGGAAAATAATTGTGGTCAGCTTACATAATTGCAATTAGCTCAAACAAATGTGATCAAGCAATTATGTAATGATTGTGACAGAAACAGAGACTAAGGGTACAACAACCATGTGGCTTGGGCCTGCAGAAGACAGTCAGCCAAAGAAGGACTTTTTGTGTATTCACAGTGCAGCAACCACAAAAGGCAGTCAGGTCATACTGCTACACTGCCATCAGATCAGAGTCTTTACCAAAAACTCTTACACAACACTAAGGGGAATGTTTTCTTTCTTCAGAAATTATGGGAAATGCAGAGATATGTATTAAATAAAGCGAGCCACTTAAACACATGGTACATCTCTCAACATACAATGCTTTCACACGCATAAGCATGTGAAGCACAGATCTGCAGCCACAACCGCTCTGACTGCCAGAAGTGCTGACATAATTAGCAGAGCACGCTCTAGAAGACGATGAAAGCAATGCAGATGATTTTACCCTTAACTTTGCTAAAAAGCTTTCCAAATGGGTTTAGAGATTTTTTTATTTAATGTAAAATATCTTTTCTAAAGTGTTTTTTTTTTCTCTGTGCCTTCATATCAGCTATAAGAGCTGCTGCTGAGCGCTCATGTAAATGAGCTAATGCAAGTGTTGGCCTAAGCTCTGCGGTTAAGGGGCTCCTGTGAGACCCTCGCCTCAATGATCATTTGTTCCTCCACAGAGCTTCTCCCATCACAGCCTCAGTTTCCATACTGCTTATAGTCCACATACACCACTCTACCAGACACAAGCTGACAGCAATAGAGTTTGCTGCTAATGCTGCTGTGGGTCATGGTGTGGAGTTGGGTAGAGTAGCTTAAACCAATCCCCAGGAAAAAGTATTGTTAATTCAATTAAACAATGACTAAAGTAGAAGTAAAATAACCTAGCAAAACACTTTATAAATCCAAACTCCTCAAGTATTCCAGTTCCCTATAGAACCGCAATGGAACGTAACGTTCAGCACCTGTCAGCATAGTAAAATGTATGACCGACGTCAGCCTTTTTGGGATTCAGGTCTAAAATAGAACTTTAATATCTAGCATTTATCGGTCCAATGGCTTGATAAGTTTGGCAGCCCGAGGACTGTTTGCCACTGCTGGCCCACCCTTGAATCACCCAGATAACTATCCTGCATACAAGCTCTGACTAG